AAGTTCATTGCCTCTGGAGAAAGGCAGCTCCCCTCCCAGGAAGCAAGCCCTAGAGGTGGGAATTGATAGGACAGTCCCAGATGCTCCAAGCTTGAGTTTAGGAGAAAAGATAAGGTCTCCTACCTTTTGATTGATTTCACTTTTTGTGTATATGTATAGGGTGCTCATGTCTGTGTATGTGCACGTGGGAACCAACATGAGCGTGTCTTCCTTCTACCATTCAAAACCCTATCGCTTGAGGCAGGGTTTCTCCCTGAGTCCAGAGGTCACTGACTGTCTAGAATGACTGGCCAGCAAGACTGAGGGATCCACCTGTTTTGCCTGCTCAACACTGGGGTTACAGGTGAAGCACCCCACGTACAGTTTTCACATGGGCACTGAGGATCTGAACTCAGGGCCTCAGACTTGCCTCCCAGCAATTCAATTGGACTTAGTGAATATCATCTGTTGTTTGTGTTGCTTCCACAGGGCCTGAAGCTGTGTTTGGGGGAGGAGGACCTCTGAGGCCTTCGCCCTTTCTCCAGTGACTAGCTCCTATGTTTGGCACAGCTCTGTCTGGGCAGCATGGTGCCAGGGACGGAGCCTGAGCAATGGCACTCTTCATCTTCCTAGTGACCTGCATATGCTTGTTCAAAGTGAGGCTGACCACCGGGCAGAGGTGGGAGGCCCCACCCTGTGCCCTGGAGGGCTGCACTGGGTAACTTAGGGAAATGCTGAGCACTGGAATAGTGAGGCACACACAAATGCAAGGCAGCCACTCAATGTGGCTTTCCTTTGAAGAACAAAGGCAAAGAAAATTGGCTCACCGACAAGAATTAAGTGGTAACAATACATGGCACGGAAATCAAAATCAGTTCAAAACTGGCTCGCTTGAAAAAATAAGATTCTGAGGAGGAAAGCTGAATGATGTGAGGCCTTTGAATAGTGGTGTTTTAGTTTAAAAGGCTTTTGTAAGGGGATTTTTGTGCCCAGAGAAAGGGAGAGGTGGTGAGGCCCAGGCCAGGCTTCTGTCTCACTGCAAGTGCCCCAGAGTTCCTCTGTAGGCAGTGCACATCCGTGGGGGCTCTCTGTCTGTCTGTCTCCCTCCTCCCCCCTCTGTGTATGTGTGTGCATATTTGTGTGAGTACATGTGTGTACATGTACATGGGAGTACACAAGTATGGCCATTTTAGATCTCAGATGCACTGGTCTGGCTCCAACCCCAGTGACAGCACCCCCGTATCCCTCCTCCAGCCCCTGTGACTACCCAAGTATATTGTGTCTTCAGAAAGAACTCATCTGGGCTCTGTGCTTCTCACTTCCCTATAATTTGGTAGGAGCCTGGCATCCAGGGACAAATTGTCCCAGGTCAGGACTCCTGAGGGGTGAACAAGGGCTGGGTTGTATTAGATCACAGAAGGCGGTACACTAGAATGGGAAAGAGAATGCTGGGGGAAGAGATGGTTTATGAAGGGACTGAGGAAGTTGTTGTTCCCAGTTCATGGCGCTGGCCTTTCCCTGAAGGCTCTCACCAGCAGCATGCCTGTAAGAGAGTGGCAGAACGGGCTTAGACCATCAGAGGAGACACATAAAGCCCAGCAGCCCCACAGGAGGGACATAGGCAGAGGTAGGGGAGGTACCAAAGTCTGGATCTCCAATCACCCTCTGACATCCTATTGATACCTCTGCTGAAAGAATCCCAAGCAGTCCAGGGACCATGATAGTCCAACACTGCTGTCCCCAAAGGTCAGCAGAGATGACAGAGTGGGGAGAAGGTTTTAGAAGGGCAGGTCGAGAACATCCAACTACATTAGTGACTTTCTTCCTTGCTCTGATGAAATACTTGGTAAGAAAGTGAGAGAAGGTTTATTCTGGCCTCTGGCTAACAGCATAAAAAGACACACAGCACCACAGCAAGGGAAGGCACATAGCAGCGAAAGGGGCTGGCTAGACACACTGCATCTGCAGTCAGGAGGCAGAGTGAACAGGAAGTGGGGCCAAGGTATAAAGCTTCAAGAGCTGCCCTGAGTGACTTATACTTCCTCTAGCAAGGTGACAGGACCTCTTAAAGGTGCTACAACAAACAGCACCACCAGCTGAGGACCAAATGTTCAAATGCTTGTCACTTGTGGGATATTTCATATTCAAACCACAACAGCAGCCCAGGGTCATTTCCCAGAGGCCACAGCTTCTTGGCCTCCAGCCAAGTGCAGCCTTTATAAGACACAACTTCTCTGGCCAATTTCAAAGTGAGGCTTCCTGCTGGGAATACCTGTTTGAACAAAGCCTTTATTGTCTGTTCCAACAGCAGGGCTGGAATTTAAAAAGCTTCATTTTCAAGACTGACTGGCTTTGGTCTGTCCAACCTGGAACTTACATTTTAGAGTCAAACAGAATTATTTAAACAAAGTATTTCTATGATAAGCACACAGTGCTTTTTTTTTTTTTTTTTTTTTTTTTTTTTTTTTTTTTTTTTTTTTTTTGTCTTCTTCCCCCTCCCCAACATTTCAAATAAGAAATTGAGGCCCATTCTGTGGCCAGCTCTTAAAACCCCAGTTTCTCTCAGCTTCTTTTTGTCTGGCCTTTGTCTCTTTGGCCTCTGGCTTTGCTTGTGATCAGACTGTGGAGGGGGCTCATCTGATGCCACCTGGCCCAGAGGACACACTGTCCTTGAGCAGTGTTCCTACCTCTGACATCTGCCTCTGGGCTTGACACAGCCACATGCTGGCTTCTGATTTCACAGACTATGTGCTTTCCCTCTTGTTTCTTGTCCCTCTCCTTCATTTCCTAAGTTCTCTTCTTTGATAGAAGCTTCCATTTTCAGCTGCATGCATACCCAGCTCCTGGTTGGTCTGAATTCCTTGGTTTGCTATTCTTTGTCCCTAACCTGCCATTCAACTAGGGTGCTGGCTAGTATTTGCTCTCCTTAGAAACTACACTTGCTCTGTACTGTCCTAGGTAGAGGGTGTCCCTTTAGGTAACAAGCAAATTCAATTCTCCATGCCATGGGGCCCAGGAGGTGTCAGAGAGATCGATGTTGAACCTGAGAGGTGACCCACTGGTCATGACACGAAGGAACTGCTCTTCCACAGCTGTAGAGGCAAGTGCAGACAGAAAGGCCATGGAACTCAGACACTAAACAGGTACATCAGTTGGAAACAAAGTGGCTTCCATGCAAATAAATAAATAGAAGTAATGTGGACACTCTCTCTCAAGAGTGAGCTAAATTCTATCATAATGCTCCACAGGAGTCTGATGAAGGCATATGATAAGTTATCTTCTATTTTTAGAGGGCTGATGGAATGTACGTTACGAGAGAAGGACACCAGCCTTGTCTGGGGTGTAGTGTGAAAAGATGCAGACACACTGGGCAGAATCAAAGCTGCTGTCTTTCCTACAGGGAGGCCCACAGCTGGCCCTTCAGAGATCCCCTGTCCTTGCTCTTCCCCTGAGGGTGAAGTGTGCAGCATTGCCTCCACCTCCCAAGGAAGAGAGCCCTATCCTGAGCAGGGTCCTCCACAGGGGACACAGTCTGTCCCTCCAAGGCTGCCTCACGAGGATACATCAGGGTCAGGAGATGGTATATGGGCTCCTAAAAGACTGCAAAAATAACCTCCAAAGCAGGTGCTCTTGAAGATGCTGAGTCAAATCCCAATTTATCTTCTTTCCCTTTTTTCTGTGTATGATATGGTGTGTGGTGTTTATTGTCATGAGTGTATATATGGTCATGTGTACTGGTACACTTATGTATGTGTGCATGTGTAGACCCAAGGTTGACACTGGGGGGGCATACATGCCATGTTGGTGAGGGAATCAGAGGACTACTTCTAGCATATAGAATGTTAAAATCAGGTTATCAGTTTTGGTGGCAATACCTATATCAACTGAACAATCCTGCTAGCCCTTTGCCTTATTATTTTTGCAACAAGGTCCCTCAGGGACCTGGAGCTTACCAAGTTGGTTACGCTGGCTGGCCCTAGGGATCCTCCTGTTTTTGTCTCTCCAACACTGGGACAACAGGTTTGTGTTGCTTTGTTGTTGTTGAAGGTGAGTGTAGAGAATCTGAACTCAGGTCTTCATGTTTGTGTGACAAGCACCTTGCCAAATGAGCTATTTCCCAGCCATTAACTTCAATTTTAAATAAAATCCAGTTTACATTGGATGCATTTGAATGGTAGTTTCCCCAGGGGAAGTGTGAACACACTAAGAAAATACTGGCAGAACTCAGCCAGAATAAGAGTGTGGTGATTTGAATGAGAATGGCTCCCACAGGTTTATATACTTGGTCACTGTTGGTGGAACTGTTTGAGAAGGGTTAGAAGGTGTGGCCTTGTTGGAGGATGTATGTCATTAGGGGTAGGCTCTGATGTTTCAAAAGACTAGTGCCTTTCCCAGTAGCTTTCTTTCTCTGCCTCCTGCTTGTAGATCAAGATGTGAGTTCTCAGCTATTCCTGCCACCATGCCTTTGCTCTGCACCATGGATTCTGCCCCATGAAACCATAATCTTTCTTGTATAAGTTGCCTTGGTCATGGTATCTTTTCACAGCAATAGAAAAGGAATTAAGACAACGGGCACATGCCAGTGTGATCTCTGACCTGTCTGACCCCAGCGGTACCTTGGTGAACTAATAACAAGAGGTGCACGTACCTCTTTTAGCTTTTGAGTCAGTTTATAGGTGTGTTTCATTCTAGAGACAAACTGACAATCCCACGGGGTTAAAAATGAAACTAGGTTATTACTTTATAAAGATAAAAACAAATTTAAATTTTTTTAAATGTTTGGGATAGTGAAAGAGGCATCTGCTTACCCTGCTTAACCAGTAGTGGCAGAGCTGTTAATACCAGAGGAAAGAGAACCCCCAATACCAACTCATGATGCGCTTCCTGTCCAGTCTCAGTCCTTCCCCAGAGACAACAGGCCAGCATTAGCTGTCTGGGGATACACTCAGAGAACTTGCTAATGTCACCCTCCCTTAACATAAAATGGACATGCATGGAAGCATTTGGGTTTATTGATTTAATCAATATGAGAATACAGCAGCAAGCCAATTCAAGCAATTATAAACTGTCCCACTTTTCTGTGTTTAAAATAAGTTGTCTTAAATAATCTGTAGCAACTAGACTCGCAGTGACATGTGAGGGGCTGTGTCACTTCTGCCACAATGCCTGTGGCCATTTGATTAGTAATCATCTAACAAAGTCTCCTAGTGCAAAGTGCACATAATCATGTAGAACCTCCATCACTGTATTTGGCTTCTTGTATTCCCTTATAAATAAATGTGCCTAAATATAAGAATTTGAGTAGAACTGAACAAGTAGGCCCAGCCTTGCACTGAGAGCACTTGTCTCTTAAACAACCCTGGAATGCCTTGAGTTGGTCAGGGCAGCAGCCTGCCCCAAGCATGTCCACAGCTGTCCTTCAGTGCCCTGTGCAGGCTGTGCTGCTTGGAGTAACTAGCTTCAACTTTAAACTGGTGAAAACACATGCAGTGCTCAGCAGAGCCAAAGGCTAAAGCTCATGCCGCGCTGTCCCCTCTTGTCCCCTTCCTTCAGTGCTGGAGGAGCGGTCTGTTCTTGCACTGCTCAGCACCGGACAGACCTTACAATTTTTTCTTGCCTCGCACCAAGGAAGAGGTTTTCAGTGTGCTCTTAACCACTGCTGCCTGGCTTACAGGCCCAGAGGATTTCTCTGATTCTTCTTTGAGCCCAGAAGAAAGGAATTTGCTGGATGGTGAGCTTGAGGTGCTCATGTCAACATCATCTAAATCAGACTTCTTGGCTGCAGCAGTGGCCTGTGAATGAAAGAAAAGGCCTAAATTAATTTAGGTGTAAAAAAGTGTGTGTAGTAGCTGAAGGGAGCAGAAGACAACAGAATTCCAGAGACTGTGAGGCATGGGCATGCCCCAGATCTGGTTAACAGCGGTCAATCTGTTAAGTTATCACTACATGCCTCAAAGGCTCTTTTACCACTTTCAAGAGATGCAAGGCATTTAGAGCTTGTTGTGATAAAACCATAGGCTGTTTAAGGCTCTGCCATGGGAAACTCACTAAAGGCCCTTGAAAGTCTGCACAGGGCCGTCTACCCAGACACAAATGGACAACACATTCCACTTCTTCAGACTTAACAGATATCTGCAGTGTGATCCCTCTTCCTAACATGAGCAAAAGTTGCTACAATTGGTCCCCTGTGCATTCTCAGACCCTCTTCTGCATTTACTCCAGGGATTGGCTTCTTTTACCAGTCAAGCAGGCACCTATGCAGACTTCTTTGAGTCTTAACTCCTTACTGGTGGAAGGGGTAAAACATTTGAATATTCACTTCATGAGGTGATGGTGGGAGTGAATTGAGGAAGCGGCAAGAGAGCTGCATGGGGTTTACAGCAGGAAAACACCAGTCCCAGGTGACCTTGTGCTCTCAGGTCATTCCATGCTGCAGGACAGGAAGTAGCAGCCTAGAATCCTGCGGTCACAGGGAGGCAGTGTTCACTTTGACTGTAGGTTCATTAAAAGAGTGATCATTTTAATTAAGTGAAGCTGAGCAGAGCGTTCTAAAGAGCAGAGACTGTCCCAGGAGACCTGCAAAGCAGGTCAGAGCAAGTTTTCACCTACACAGAGTGGCAAGGCAAAGGGCATGCATGTAACATTTTTAGGTAGCTGAGAACTGTTTTCAAAGTAGAAAAGATCACACACGGCACTGGACAAATTGCTCAGGTGTTTTCTTGATCTCCCTGGCTTTTGAGATAGGAATATTTCTACTTATGCATTTGTTCAATGAAGAGAAGTTCCTAGGGCTACAGCAAAACTTCAGGGCATCTTTACTCTGGAATCTATATCTCAAAAATGAAAAGATATGCCAACAGGTGTTTATTGCAGACACCTCTACAGTAGGGCATCCTCAGAACATCCTTCGTGCCTGACTCTCCAGGAGTGATTCTTGCTCAGGCAACACTCTAAGACTGTCCTATACCTTGAAAACAATTGCATAAAATTTGGAATGTAAAAGGTCATTTCCCCTAATCTTTTCCTCAAAAAAATATGCAAGTTGCCCCCCTTGAATTCTTTCAAGAAACAGAAAATTGAAAAAAATCTTTACCATTTGATAGAGTAGTTACTGTCACCTGTTGAAAACTCACAGGCTACAAACAAACCAACCTCATGTTTTGGTGTCTGGCTGGGGACCACTTGCTTTCCTAAGACACGGAATCAATCTGAAACTTTCAGCTCATGAAATTTAACTAACTTTACACATAAATACTATCTAAAGGCAAGGCTAAATGCAAACCTTGTCACATTAGATGTTGCAACTTGGATTCCGAGTAGTTAAGGAACATACAACGTGCCCACTACAACTAGCACTCTGTGAAAGAGGACAGAGGCTCAGCCATTGGCTTTCACATGGATATCACGTCTGCTTGAATGCTTCCACTCCTCATCTGTGGGTTTTCTAATTATGCTTACTCATTCATTTGTTTGTTCATTTACTTACTTATTTACTGTTTAATTAAGTGATTGATTGTGGGATTGTGTGTGCATGTGCCATGGTACATGTGTGAAGGTCGGAGGACAACTTGTAGAAATCAGTTCTCTCTTTCTACCACATGAGTTCCAGAGATCAAGCTCAGGTCATCATATTTGGTAGGAGGAACTTTACAAGCTGAGCCACCTAACTGTCCCCACTGGGCAACTGCACTCTGTTAATGTACTGCACTCAGGGATCAGTCAGCAAGAACAAATGCTATGTTTTTACATGCTTAAATGGCAATGTTGATTTTTCTCTCCAACTCTATGCACTCTAGAACTTTTTTTCTAGAATACAGTATCTCAATGTAGTTCATGAAATTTTGTGAAAAAAAAAATAACTGTGGTAGGAGAAATGAAACAACCAAAATGTCTAGTTGCTATTGATGTAGAAACATGGTATTTCTGTTTCCTTATGTAGCAAGTTGAGGAAAATTACATCCCTCAGCCACATGTGTTTATTTACAATTTTAGTAATCTTAAAAAAATACATAGAACATACTCATAGTTTAATGAAAATCTCTCTCTTGCCTCCTACTTAATTCAAACCCAGCCATCATAAAACACAGCTAATGCTGTTGATTTAGAGTTGTACATCGGCGGGGCAAGATGGCGGCGCCGGGAGGACTCTCATTCTGAGGAGCAGCACAGCAGGATTGGCACAGTGTCCAGCAATCAGAACTCGCGGCCATAAAACACAAGTGATTGTGTTTCACAGGTGAGAGGATACCCCACGGTGGGGGATTCAATCAGCTTTAACTCACCCGGCTAAACCACGGAAGAGATCCCGGTTCCGCCAGGCGCTTGGTCGCCAGCCCATAGCTACACGCCAGCGCGATCTGGTCACGGTCCCAGACTTAACTGTGGGCCCACAACACCATAGACTGGATTTCCCAGTCGAGAGATAACCCCACAGAGCAGGAAACAATTGGGACCAACCTCAGGTTACCCAGACATCCCCTGGAAAAGACTCGGGTTCCGCGGGTGCCCCAAGAGCCAGTCCGGACCCAGAGCCGGGACCCAGGCGCCTGCCTGTGCGCCTGATTCGCCGCCTCAGATAGAACTGTGGGCACCAGGGCACCAGGGCACCAGACTGCTGTGTCTCTGGCAGGAGGAAACCCCCAGCGGAGGGGGTCAGCAGCTCTAACGCTTAGGACACCCAGCACCAAAACACTTCCTGGACTCACGCAGACTCTAGTGCAGGCAGGAGCGCTGTGCTCTGCCGCCATTATTGAGTTCCCCTAGGGCACTGGGACACACAGCTGCATCCTCAGACCTACAAAAGCCAGAGAGCCATTACAGCAGCCCTCAGATACTGTGCCAAGGATCAACCAGTTATCCCTAGCTAGACTGTCAAAACTGTGGGAATCCCTGGTCCTTCAAGAGGGCTGCACCCACAGCGTCTGGACCAGAGCAGTGCCTGCAGCCGCCATCCCAGACAGGGACACACAGCTTCTGGTCCAGAGTGAGGCACCCAGCCTCCAGACCAGAGCAGCGCCCCCAGGCGCCAACTCAACCTAGGTGCACATTCTCCAGGTCCAGAGCAGAGCAATCAGCCTCTGGCCCAGAGACTTCCTGAGTGCACCTCTCACTTTCCCAGACAGAACTGTGCACCCCAGGATAACAGACTGAGTTTCCCTGTTGGGAGAAAACCCCACAGCTAGGGAATCAGCAGGTTCTTCAAGAGGACTGTACATGGAAATTTAGTGAGCAGCAGCACACTAAATTTATAACAAGAAACCCAGCAGTGGGGCAGCTGTCTTGAGAAACTCTATGGGTAAGAGGAGATCCCCCCCTGCCTAACATAGACCACAGCTACTACTCAGGGCTATAAACCTGAGGTGAGCAGTGGCAACTCCTGAGAAACACTGGCCATACAGTGACCATAACCAAAAAGCAGAGAAGGACTCCTTTAGAATTGTACATCTTCCTCAGGGTGTCATATATACCAACAAGCACATTTGTACAACTGAATGAATTGCTGTCATTCAATTGTCACTTCCATGGGGAGCAGGTCAAAACCTCCCCTGGCTCAGCCTAATTTATCCCAGCTTTATTTTACCCTTTCACACAAATGGTATTGCACTGCAAACATACCTTCACACCTGAGGTCTTTTTGAATGACCTGATGGTTATCTTGCAGACCATTCTTATCTAAATTTATACAATTTGCTTCTTGTTTCTTCAGGTTGGGCAGTGAATCTCTTGGTTTCGGATCAGCCATAGTTAGTCGGGTAGACCCTTCACAGCAGATGCTGCAGTTGTCTCTACTCTTTCACTAGCATTAACAGTACTGAAAAGTACACTTCTGAGGCAGATGTACCAGTTCATACTCTCCCCCTCAGCAAGACTGTTTGCTTTCTTTGAATATAAAAGGCCAAGGCAAATGTCAGCTCCCAAAGTTTTCTAGAATTGTGCCAATCTTATTTTTCAGACATTTCTTCAGTTAGGTTAGGTTGTTTCATGTATATTAATGTTGCTATAAAGATAAAGATTTGTTCTTATTTATGTGTATATGTGTGTAAGTGTATGCGGCATGTGTGAGGGACTCACAGAGCTGGAAGAGGTCACTGGATCCCCGGCAACTGAAGTTACAGTTTCTGTGAGCCACAAGGGTACTAGATACACAACCCAAGACCCATGGAAGAGCAGCAAGATCTCTTAACTGGTGAGTTGTCTCTCTAGTCCCAGCAGCCATATTTTAAATAAGCCTGAGAATTTGCCAACAGCCATCTGCACTGAAATCACGGTATCTGTCCCTTCACTCCCTGTCAGCATGGATGCAAACACACTTAACCGTGTGCAAAGGCTTACTGCATAGACGCTTTTGTGTCTATGGGAGGAATAATCTGTGTCCTCACCACTTCTCTTGCTCATTGCAGCTGCATCACAGCTGGTGGGCAACTGTTCAGGAAGCAGAATCCTCAAGGTTCTATAGAGTCTGAGCCTCTGCTCTTCCTTCTTTCTGGAATCATCTCTGATGCTAGCTCATCACAGGTGCAGAACCACCATTGGGCAGGTTCTCTTCACAGGGAACCAAGCCTCTTAACTCCTTGGAATATAAAAGGCCAAGGCAAATTTCAGCTCCCAAAGTTTTTCTAGAATTATGCCAATCTTATTTTTCAGACATTTCTTCGGTTAGGTTACAGACCATCTAAGTCTGGGGCTTCCTCTTCTCTTCTCTCATGGCTGCTGGGATTCCCTAAGGAACCTTTGTTGTCACTGATGCTATTTTACAGTATTTTAAATAATAGGACAAAGAAATGAAAAGTGA